ATATATATATATATATATTAATGATGTCATTTTTATGGAGTGACCGGTGAGTATTATATTTACTTCAATATTAATTTAACATTTAATTTTCAGATTTTAAAGCATGCCTTGTTTTAGCTATCATCTGGATGCCACAATTTAGCAAACAAAGTTTAGTTATCTGAAAACTAGTTTATGACAGCTGCACATAAAATAGTTTAAAACTAATCTTAAGGATATATTTATATATTCCTCATGTCCTTTTTGAAAAAGAATATATTAATACGGATGAATTTATATATTTATATATATTATAGATCAAAAATGGCTCGGCCCACCCTTTGGTCATGGCCACTCGCATGGTGACCCCACTGGTCATTCGCTCGTGCTCACAGTGTGTGGCCGCCCGGCTACAAATCAGGCCCCCTAAGGACATTTTCTAAGGCTCCCGACCCTATAAATTATGTATTGATCATATCTAATTTATTAGAGATACAAAATGTAACCTTACAGCTCTCACTTCTTCATGAATAAATGTTACACGATTTTAAGATTCATTACAGAGCTCTCTCAGATATTTTCTTTTTTTTTCGTGTTCTATTTCTTAGACACGTCTTACGGACAATTTTAGGGCTCATTTGTGGCGGCTTATAAGTGCGGGTGACATTTTCAAAACGCCGTCGTACCGTGTGGTTTACGCGTTTCGCCAGCTTATCTGAAACCGCGTTTGGATTTTTACACTAAACGCAGGTCGCGGGCTGAACCCCGCCGGCCGCGTTTCAAGGTAAGCATCTTATCCTGAAATGCGCAAGCTGCCCCAAACACTCTTAGATTCTAGATATTGGCGAATACGACAAGAATTTACTGGTAGTTTTTTTTTTGTTTAATTTTATTTAAAAATTATATTATTAATGATGTCAATTTTATAGAGTATGACCAAGGAGTAATATATTTACTTCAATATTATTTTAGCATATATTTTTCAGATTTTAAAAGAAGATGCTCTATTCTAACTATTCATCCAAAATCTAAAGTTTAGCACACAAAGTTATTTAAGTTATTGGAAAACTATTCTATGACAGCAAACAAAGTGATTATATATTATAGAAAGAAATGATTGATACAATTCTAATCAAAATTAAGTTGGGGTAAATTTCAAAATCATTTGAGTTAATTTAAGGAGAGTATAATATAAATTTTAATTGACTTTCATGTATTAGACTCAATAATGCAACATTTCAATATAAATGAAAATTTATTAATGAGAAGTAACATCTCAATTTGATTTTGATAATGGAGTTTAAAGTTTGAAGTATGATCCTACTAAATTATAAAAAGTTGCATGTTATATGATCATGATTGGCAAGTTACATCTAATTTTTACCTAGTATAAAATATTTGACTTGTCAATATAGACAAATAATTCATTCGCTAAAATGATATTTAGAATAAAGTTTTAGATATGATTGTATTAGTAATTAGTAGTCTAAAATAGGCCAGAAGGTTGTTAAGTTCAGTAAGAATGTTTTGTATCATAGCATATTAGCATTAGTTACATTTTGATGTATGATTATTTGTATATCAGAAATGTGTCAACACGAATCTTCATGAAATTCAACAGATTAAGAGACAAAAGTGGGGTCAATGATGACCCACAAAAGGGAGATCAAATGTCAAGTCAACAGAAGACTAAAATACCTTATCGGTCAACTATGTACACCTTCCTTGGAGTAGGATCTCAAACCGATCGAATGAAAAGGCCAAACGAATAAATAGACGAATGCCTC